GGTTGACTTGAAAACTTCCAAGTCCCTTAACTTGACAAAAAGCAGTGCCATGTCGAGCTTCACTACTTCAGTGTAGCTTGAGGTCCATGTCATTGGCTTCTTGGTTTCAGAAACCATCATGCCTGACATTTTTCTTCATCTTCCCCCTTTCTTTATCTTAATATGACCTTTGTCTTGTGATCTTGTCTTTGAAATTGTACTGCAGAAATGAAGTCTATGCAAAATTCTTCCATGGTAAATACAAAGACATTTGACATCCCAGCCTCAACAAATCTTAGACCTCCACCTATTGATCGGCAGAAGTCATTTGACAATGAGGAATTTTCACCAAAGCCCGTTGTTGTCAAGAAACCTGTTGCTGCTCCTGTAAACGTGAAATCATACTCAGTAGCAGACCTGCAGATGGCTACCGGCAGCTTCAGTGTTGACCGTCTTCTTGGTGAGGGGTCTTTTGGACGTGTTTATCGAGCTGAGTTTGATGATGGGAAGGTATACGTTCCTCGCCTTTCAAATCAATTTGGCAATTTCAGTTAAAAGGATAAAACATGGTCTTCTTGGACTTGTCTGCTCCATCTTATACTTTCTGCTGGGCTTTCCATTCTCAATTATGAATGACATGCCCGCTGAGATAATTAAGGCATTTGTGGAAAGATGTGTAAGATTCTGGATAGAGTGATGACTAGTGTTCGTATAGGAAGAAATTTTGTGCACATGTTTCCTTAAAAAAATTTCTCTTTAACATGCACACAGTCCCTATACCTTATTAAGTTGTAACTTCTGCTTCGACAACACTGTAGGTTGCTGTGAAGAAACTAGATTCAGGCATTCTGCCTAGCCATATGTCTGATGATTTTATGGAGATGGTTTCAAGCATTTCCTTGTTGCATCATCCAAATGTGACAGAACTAGTGGGTTATTGTTCAGAGCATGGACAGCATCTGCTGGTCTATGAGTTCCATAAAAATGGCTCACTGTATGACTTCTTGCATCTATCAGATGAATACAGCAAACCTTTGATATGGAATTCCCGTGTCAAGATAGCTCTGGGGACTGCTCGGGCATTGGAGTAAGTTCAGAAAAGCAATCCTATAGTTCTAATTGTTTCTCACCAACATCAAATTGTGCCAAAAAAAAATGTGAACACGTCCTCCATTCTCTTCCCTGTTATCTATCATCTGCTTTATTATTCAAATATTGGGGCAAAGGGATTGGGTCATCACCACTTGAATGATTCAACAAAAATGATAATCATTAACTATTTAGTTCCATGGTATGAATTTTAATAATGTAAAAAACCTGAGGCCAGCAAAACAAGGTGAACTTTTTATCATCTCATTTTCTGAGCATCTAAAACCTTTGCATATGAAGAAGTTGCTTTGGCATATCTGTTTCTACTCCACGTGAACAGTCCTCTCCCTTTCTAAGATGCAGGACATGGTCTAGACCTTTGTTAAAGAATTTTGATGTTGGAATCTAGAACTTACCAAAAGATAGGGAAAGAGTCCAACCTTTGCAGCCAAGACCTTCATAAATCAGTGTAACTTATCTATGATATTAGTGACGAGCTTCCTGATACTCAAAAGGGTTTTCTTCAGGTACCTGCATGAAGTTTGTTCGCCATCTATTATTCATAAGAATATCAAGTCAGCGAATATATTATTGGACACGGAGCTCAATCCACATCTCTCAGATGCTGGCCTGGCAAGCAGTCTCCATAATGCAGACCAGGTTAATCATGAACCTTCTTTTAAATTTTCACGATAGTCTATAGATAGTGTTTCTTTGATGTTAATTGTGAAGAACTTCGTTGCCTGAGCTTTTGTCATTGTCTTAGCCTTTATGTTTGAAGTTCACTTGAGGCGAAGATTACCAAGGTTTCCCATCTGTCATAATTTGCACACATTTCTTTGTGTATATATTTTTTTTATGAAATTCATCTGCAATTTATGACCGGATAGGGTGATGAATACTTCTAACTTATGCTTTAACCTCTCTTCTTTTGATTGCTAATCTGGTCAAGCTCTCCAAAAGAGAACTTGGTTCCAAAATCCATGATGTGGTAGTAGCATAATTTGAGATGGTGCAACATCTAGTATTCTGGGTTTCTTGCAGGATCTATTATGTAAGAACTACCCAGCAAAATACAAGTGGTTTCATTGTAGCTAGTTAGCTTATCTCACTTTCTGGATGTTGCATTTGAGGAATCATTATTTCATGTTATCAAATTTGCAAGATTTTCCTGGATTCCAGTGAGTGAATTCACAACCACTTAATTGGTGGTGAAAAGCTTCTTGTCTTTATCTGGTCAATTTTGTACCTGTATCTTAGTCTAGAGGCTAGACTAATCTCTAAACACTCACAGCTATTGCTTAAACTTTTTTCTGAGTCCTCTGTTTTTCACAACATGCAGGTTTTGAACTATAATGCAGGTTCTGGATACAGTGCACCTGAGGTAGCTATGTCCGGTCATTATACTTTAAAGAGTGATGTTTACAGTTTTGGTGTGGTCATGTTGGAGCTTCTAACTGGACGTAAACCATTTGACAGGTGAAATGCTAACATAAACAATATGATGAGAGAGATCTCATTGACATAATCACGCTGATTATCCTATTTACCAACATAATTATAACTAAAGATGGGATAAAAATCAGTAGTTCCTAATCTCATTGCAATGTTAATTGTTAACAGCTCAAGGCCTAGATCTGAGCAATCTTTGGTTCGCTGGGCAACTCCTCAGCTCCATGACATTGATTCCTTATCCAAAATGGTTGATCCAGAACTCAAAGGGCTCTACCCTGTCAAATCTCTTTCCCGGTTTGCTGATGTTATTGCTCTCTGTGTCCAGGTAATGTATTACTTGAAAGAGGGAACTTTGGTGAGGTATATTTGAGGGAAGGGGGTTTTGAAGCTTGGTACCATATTGCATTTTTTATCTTGGCAAGTTTTGGGCATTACTGCAGTTCTAGAAGGGGAAAAGGGAGTGTGCTAAAAAATATTGTATGAATTTAAGTTCTGATGGTTATTATCATTGTTTTTGTGGCAGCCTGAGCCAGAGTTTCGCCCTCCTATGTCAGAAGTGGTTCAAGCATTGTTTCGTTTAGTGCAGAGAGCTAACATGAGCAAGAGAACTATCGGAAACGAACAAGGAGAAACACCAAAAGCTGACAACCCAGATACACAAGACTATATGTCTTGAAATTGGCTGCAAAAACATTGATTTCTTGCATTTTTGTCGTAGATTGATAGCCACCCCGTCTCGCACTTCTTGTTTATTGTATTTTCAAGTTTATTGAACAGTCTTAGACTCTTAAACACATGATACGAGAGTTAAAAGCTTGGTCCAGTAAGGTAACAATGACATGGTTTAGCCTAGTGTTTTGTTTTCTGGGACGCTGCAATGCCTTCGTGACAGTTCATTATGGCATTCTGTATGTAGTTATACTTTTTTTTATTCTCTTTTCCTAGTTAAAAATGGTGATGATATCTTTCAGGATTTTCAGATGCCCGATCATTGATGCCCCTCATAATATTCACAAGAAGTCCTGCTGCTGGTCCATCCCAGCTACTAGTTTGAGGGGGGGATGTTAGTTAATAAAAAGACTATTTTGAGGGGGGGATGTAAGTTAATAATCTTTTTATTCTGGCAATCCTCAAAAAGGAAAGAAATGGATAAGCCATGTGATATCAATAAACACCATTAATTATCATGGAAAAATCAAATGCATCTTTAAATATCATGGAAAGACAAAAGCACGAGGAAGCAGTGATGGTGACGAGGATTTGGTTCTCGTGGAGAAGTCTGAATGTTTGTCATCAGGTCGCTGGTGTGATAAAGCCTCTTTTCTCGAATTAGCAGACAGCTCAATTTCCTTGGTTCTATGTTCAGTTCTTTGGTTGAATGCCAACCTTTATGGCTGAAAAGTTTTTCTTAGGGATGAACCTCGTTTTTCATCATAAAAGCATCTTGGCAAGATATCAACTAAGGTAAAACATGATGTGCACCTAACAGTAAAGAACACGACCAGCTATTGAGGCAAAGAGACTTTCGAGATGTATAAGAGTATGGTAATATTTATTTTTTTTAAGTATTTTTTATTTTTAAAAATATCAAATAATATATATTTTTTATTTTTAAAAATTTGATATAATCAGCAAATAATATGATATTTTTAAATTTTTTATAATTTTCAAAAAGTATTTTCTATCCAAATTTTTAAGAAATATTTTTCTGAAAACTAAGCCTAATTTTTTTTTAACTGAAAAACATTTTTTATTAACTAATTTTTCTAATGGTAAATAACCACAGAAACGTGCGGAAAGTAGTTTCCTCAAAATTACTTTTCAAGAAATAACACAGCCTAAAAAATTAAAAATAAATAAATCATAGAAGATGGGTAAGTGATAATATCATCAAATTATATATTTTTGCCAATCTGGACAATAAATATGAGTAGGTCAATATATATATAAAAGGAAGATGAGATAAAATATTTAGCTAAAATAATTTGATGTAACGAGTAAATATTTTAAAAAATTTCTAGCGTGGACCATCCACATTTGTCAATTAGCTGAAGAAGAAAAACATGAATTCAAATAAAATAATGAAATATTCGTGCACCATCATAAATGGTTTTTTTATATTCCCCAGTGAGTTTTGAACCTAGAATTTTAAATAAAATATTATTCTACCTAAGAATTTAAATTATGTTACCTCTCTAATCAAGAGGATCAAGGGATGCAACCACTTTTTTTTCTTTTTTGAAATGGACGAGAAGGAAGAAGCAATTGCCATTGCATTGTTAAGGGGGTTATTGGATCGTCTAATTCAGGCAAATTTAAGCGGTATCCATCGACAATTTGAGAAAGCCGCCAAGATACTGAGCATGAAGCTACAAAGAAAGCCTCTTTGTATCTTCGAATACAAAGTTCAAAGATTTAATGAAAGCTTCTGAATAAGCTTTTAGCAGAGGAGAAGTAAGACTGTCGAGCATCATCACTAGCAACACAAATGGAAAAGAGATTTCTTCAGCTGCTGTCACTAGTTTTCAACACCATGTGCATTACAAAAATAATACTCAGCCATGACCGAAGCAATGAAACGAAAAGGCTATGTGCAAGATACAAACACCTATTATGGTACACACTAAAATACATGCTACGGTGAAATTCGGCACCACTAACTGAACTGGGCATCAACCAAGGAGTTATTTCCAGATTTATTGAGTATCCATGACAAACCAGCCTCACCGGCAGATTATCACGAAGAACTAATGTGTATTGAAGAGGCAGCGCACCATCTACCAGTTTCCTGTATCTTCTTCATTCATTTTCTGCAATGTAATTAGGTAATTCACCTTGGCAGAGGTACTCATCGCATGAAGATGCTGATTCCCAACCCTTCCGCAGCCTGAAGATGTCCTCAGTGAAAGTGGATCCAGAGGCTCCGATGAATACACTGGACATAGCACAGATTGTCTTATCCAGCATAGCTTCCACCTACAAATGAAAACCCGATAAATTCATTTCAATTTGTAGGGAAAAAAAGACAGCATGTAACATACAGCATTCGCTCACGTAATTATCATATGTGAGATTCGTAGGGACCCTTGAATTCACACAACGTCTTCACATTGTCCAAATTGACGGAGCAAATCAAATGCTTTGAGAACTTATTTTCCAATGTAAAAAGGCACCAAACAGAGTGCATTTCAATTATGTCTAGGAAGAAAAGGATAAAGCGGGAACAAAAAAAGGAAAGAGAAAACTCAAGAGTGAGACAAATGGAGGAACAATATCACCATTATTGTTCAATATGATGCCAAAGGGGGCCTCTCTCTAATCTCTAACAAAATCAAAAACAAGTGAGTCATTCATATGCACGATGAATAATTATATTCCAGTGGAAAAGAATTTAAATGCACTTCTTCTGCACACCGCACGGAATAAAGCTGAAACTTATTTACTTGATCCACAACAAGAACTGCATTAAAATCCACGAGTAGCTATTTCATTGAAGGATTCATAAGTCTTTTTGAAGATAAATCTGATAAAACTAGAGCATGCCAGAAAACCAATTATGATAGATTTTATACATTCACAATATGGAAGCAGTGCATAGTACAGTGATCACTTCAGCAAAACAAACAGCTAATCAAAAGGGATCGTTTAACTTCAGCAAACAAATTCAGCTCAAACCAGGTAGACTGTGATTTCTTTTCTTTTCTTTTTTCACATCTATTTGTAGAATATCCTAAAAAGGATAGCATCGTGCACAATTGTGGAGTTTTTCTTCATGATCAATAGGCTATTTAAATTCAAAAGTCCAAGCAAGCCTAATAATGTATCCTCCAAAAGCTTGGAGGAGAAGCCTGTGATCAAATACCATCCATGTCAAAACTGATCCAATCAGATCATTTATCAAGTGAAACATCACCTTCTGAGGAATCCAAAAATCAAACAGAGAAAAGAATGTAAAGGGATCAATTGCCATGCATTTTCAATTGTTATCACACCCAGAAAACTCTTGGGAACAATCAGTAAAAATAAACAGGCAATGGATGAAATTCAGGATGTAAATCTCCTTTAACCCATGCTAAAACAAATGCACAGGAAGAAAAGAAATTTAGTCTTACCTGTGCATCTTCCTGGAGGCCATGTCTGTACAACAAAGCATCCCACTTTTCAGCTGAATTACGAGGAGGACGTGTAACAAGTGGAACAGTCCTTCCATTCACCACAACTAGTGACTGCAGCAAACCAGTTTCACTTTCTGCCGCATCTGTGGAGAGATATACCACAGGTGCATTGGCCCTTTCAACCACCCGAGCAATGCAATCTGCCGCTTGGGGAACAGGATAAAAGCAACTTGGCTTCTTGGCATTGCTGGCAAAATATACAGGGGTTCTTAGAGGCATCATGATGTCTAAATCTTCTCAATAAGGTAAAAGAAATTCTAATAAATAAACATTCATAATGTTTAGAACCCAATCCGATCATGCATGCTGATTGAAGCAAGAAATAGATGTCGCTCTAAAACAGGTGAACAGTTGCATTTTAAGTGTTATGCTCCAAGACTGTCTATGAGATCTTATATAAACAAATCAATCTGTATTCAAGCAGTTCCACCATATGTCTATAAATATATGTATAGAGTAATAAATTGATTAAAAAAAACTAAGTTGATGCATAAAGCCACCTGTACACATGCATAAAAACACACAACATATGCACTGTACTTGCAACCAAATCATCATTTTAAAAGCCTCATCCCTATTTTTCTTCAGTTTCAAATTCATGGCTCAAAATTACAAGGAATCTCCTGATTGAACATCTAATTTTACAGATGCTTAAAAGTAAAATGCTTAAAGATTTTGACTGTGACCACCACAACAAGTTATCAAGTGGGCATTAGACTCTAGATAGATGTAAGAGTTCCTTTCCCCCACCCCCTCCTTCTCTATGACACTATACAGAGTAAAACAGTTCATACATGCTAAAACAAAGAGGCAAAAAGCACCAACTGCAATAAACATAAAGGAACAGGCATGAAAAAAGCAACACATACCAGAACTTCAAAAATCCATGACGCCGAAAATGGAGAGCAATGAAGTTACTCCCCAAGAAAGTTTGAATAAACCTCTGCGCAGTGAGCATAATTATCCTAGTTGGTTCGATCAAAGTCTTGCATTTATGAGCAATAGGACCACCTGGCTGCATAATCCACTCTTCCTCCACATCAGCAAAAAACACATCTCCCACAGCAATAACATTATCATCACTCACAAACTTCCCCTCAACATCCTTAACAGTAAGCTTGCTTGGCTTCTTAATATCCTCCTTCCATGGGGACTGAAGTTTCCCCATGGAAACCCCCAACCCCTTCAGCTTCTTGACATGTTCTTCATCAACATAACATGGAGTAGGATCAGAAAAATAACAAAAGAACCTGTCAATACGGGGTTTATTCTTCATGATTTCCACAAACTCCTCGAAGGTAACAACAACCTTCCTCCCCAAACAATCGTTTACATGCTCAATGTCCAAAACCCTATTATACTGATAATCAAACCTGGAGCTCGGGATAACCAAGACCCGATTCAACAATGCAGCGAAAAACATGTGTTTCTCTAAACAAATCAAATGGTTACTCATCTGCCCAGATAAACAAAGCGCGAATAAAAATTTATTGGGTTTCGGTTTCCATTCTATTGTTTTTCTGTCAGCGAATCTCTGATCCATTTTTTCACATCTCTGGACGAAACCACCGGCATTGCTAAAATCTAAATCTGATGACGATGACGATACATTCCCTGACTCATGAGGGGCTAGTAAAACCTGTTGGATTTCTTTATTTAAAGAAATTTGTTTTAGCAATGCAGATTTCAAATCTTCAAAGGAAACGGAATTGAGATCCTTTTCTAACAATGTGGAATTGCCAGTGAAATTCCAGAGAGAGAAGAGAGAGAGCTGCTGCTTTTTCAACAGATAAAGAGCGCGTAATTCGGATTCGCGCATTCGGATAGAGAGGGAATCCCCGACCTTGAGATGGGTCGAAAATAAATTCCGAATGTCGGTGGAGAAAGAAAGGAATAAGATGAAGAGGGGGAGGAATATTATAGCAGCAGCCAACAGAGAGTACCTCTTGTTGAAGGTGAAACGGTGTCGTATCCGAGATTCGACATCGAATGTTGTGGATCGTCGGCGTGTTGGGGATGAGGTGGGGAGGACGCCGTTCTGGTGGTGCTTTCTATCGTTTTGTTCAATTAGGTGCTCGCGATCGTCCTCTTCGTCTGACGAATCTCTCTCCATTGGTTGCTTGCTTTGCTTTTTGCGATAGTCGGTGGGGCAGTGTCGTTTAGTGGGTTTGAGATGAATGTGAATGAATTATGTACGTGTCATGAGTGAGAGTAAGGTGAGATCGGATGAAAGATGAAGGTGGTGGTCCTGGCGGAGGGTAGAGAAAGCGTAGGGGAGTGGGGAAAATTAAAGATGAAGCAAGGCAATTATCCATCAGTCGTCGGTGGCGGATAATGACTTCACACCCGCCTCTCTCACTCTCTAAGATCCACCGGCCCGGCCCAATTATTTGTTTCAGCTGTTGACGGATCTGGCCTAATCATTGCTCCATGGTATAATAATAATCAATTGACTTAATTAGTCCAAACGACAGCTATTTTTTTAATCTAATAATTCTGCGTATGGGACCGATATTTTTTTCAAAGCCTATTCCTGATCGGATATTAAACTGTGATATTCTGCTCTTTTAATTAAGTTTTAAATATTTCATTTTTTTTTCTATTGGTGTGCTTTAAGTCAAAGTTGTCAATACTATTTCTAGAGATATTTTCAATATTGGTTCATTTGGGCTTTTCATTTTAAAACTAGTAGTATATATGTGTGTGTATCCGTGTATTTATTTTAAATAAATTCATTATGTCATCTTGTATACAGCACTTAATTACTTAATCAAGTAAATATTTACCATATATAATGTTATTAGATCAATATATATATATATATATGAATAAATAGATGAAATAGAGTAAACATGGAGTCAAATTATTTAAAGATACTCAGGATCGGTTGAAGAAAAATGAAATGTTAATATTCTATCAATATATTAAACTTTTACAATTATCAAGTGCCAAGATCTTATAAAAATCATACATAATTAAGTTGGGTCAAATGGAATCAATGTTATGAGTTAAATATTGAAAAGCTTTAATAAATAAATAAATCCACTCTTTAATTAGCATAATAAAACAAGCGCTGAAACATCTAAAGCGTTTTGACTAATTTTGGCTCATATTAGACACTATGAAATGAGATTCTAATAGTGTATAATGAATATTTATTTTATATTTTCAAGTGATATAAAATATTTTAAATATACTTTTTGGGATTGGGCCGATGTATATTATAAGAAGAAACTAGGGTTGATTCCATTTATTTGAAATGCTCTCATTATTTTTGGTTAGATCATTTATATTAGATAAAACAATTTTAATGAAAAAAATTATCAATACCTTGTTAATGTGTTTTTTTAAAAAAAATAATGTCCGGATTAAATCAATATGACTCGATCCAATAAAAATATAATCTAACTTAAAAAATTCTAAATAACATTTTTTTAATAGTAAAAGATAATATATAAAATTGACTTAAATTAACCGAGTTTAACTTGTTAAATCTATATTCCAGATCATAAGATTGTAATAACTCTATAATAATAATTTAATTGTTTATATATCTAACATAATTGTTTTCCATAATTATCTTAAGTTATAGGTTTGGCGGAATGACTCAGGTTAATATAGTCATTTTTTTTATGAGGTTATTCTAGTCTAACAACTCGAATCATGGATTCAGTTGGTCGTTTTATTTTGTAATTTTTTAGATTTTTTTTAAAATTTTATCCTTCAATAATAAATTGATTGGAATTTGAGTTTTAAAATATATTTTGAGTTTTTGTATACAAAGTTATTTCAGTCTCATAACTTAAGTTATAGATATGACGGAATGACTCGAGTTAATATAGTCATTTATTTATTATGAGATTATTTTAGTCTAATAACTCAAATTATAGGTTCAGTTGATTAACTCGTGTTAACTTGGATAATTTTTTTATGTTTTTTTAGTTGTTTTTTTTCATTCTTTAACATTGGTTGATTGAGAATTGAGTTTTAAAATTTGTTTTGATTTACTTTCTATAAGATTATTCTAGTCTCATGATATAAGATGTAGGTTTGATGAGTTAACTTAAATTGACTTGAGTCATTTTTCTGTCCCTTTTATTTTAGAGAATTATTTTTTTCAATTTTATCCTTCAACATTGAGTTGATTAGAAAATTAAGCTTCATAATTTATTTTGATTTACTTTACATTGAGTTATTATAGTTTCATGACCCAAGTCACAAATTTAATAGGTTAATATGGGTTGACCCAGGTTAATCTAATATATTATCATTTAAATTTTTTTTTAAGATATCATCTTAAATTTTTTTTAATCAAACTATGTTTTTATTAGTCATTTAATTTATCTTTAAATCTGTCAAGTTGATGAATTATATCATATTCTTCTCATAATTTAAATTGTTTTCTACTGGAAAAAATATTGGCAACATATAAATTTTCTTTAAAAAAAAATTGATCATATAGTTTGTCTACATATCTCCATGGAATTATAACTTAACAATCTTTGAAATTAAATCATTACACATGAACTTTAGATATTTTTTTTAAAATTTTAATTTTTTTTGAAAAAACAACAAAAATTTTTTTAAAAAAAAACTAATTTTTTTTGAAAAAACAACAAATAATTTTTTAAAAAAAACTAACTTAAAAAGACTTTTTTAAATAAATAAAATACATATACATATTTTTATTCAAGAAATTATATTAATATTTATACTATAGGAGAGATAGATTAAGAAACAGAAAAAAATTAAAATAAATGAAAATATTTTTATTTTTTTATAAGATGTGATGTGATTTTATCTCTTTTTATAATGTCACCGGTTACACCTTAAACAGTAAACTTTTTGTTTTTGTTTTCTTCGTTTCGTGAAAGAGATGAAGAAAGAACTCTGAACGACTATATGGCTAATTTGCTCACCGCCTAATTTCCTCTGCCACAAATCCCTCATATAGTGGTTCAAAATCCAGTCATCGTGTATTTACCTCTAAGAATGTCATCATCTAGTAGTTCAACGTCATCTTCTTCAAGATATGGTAACGATATAATCACCTCAATCAGTCAGCAAAGACCCATTAGGATTATCCTCCAATAATTTTTTTTTTTTGTAATTAAAGGTAAAAAAATATGTTTCTAAGTTTTAGCTTCCCATAAGTATTCTGGGAGCAACAGGAAACATTTATAGATGGCTTCTGTCTTACAGTACACAGCAAAGATATGAATTTAACTAAATGTAAGTGATAAATCTATTTTGAACGGGCTTAAAAGCTCTTATGAATACGTTCACGCCCTCGATTATTGATACCACGAGAGGGAGGACCGGAAGAAAATTTACCGCGACCATTGTTTTTATAAGAGAGAGCAGCAAGATTTGCAGAGAAATCGATGGAGGTGGCAACTTGTTCCACACGTAGTTCATGAGTAAGAAGATGGCCAAAGAGTTAATCAAGCTGCATTGGATCTAAACGAGTGTTGACAGATGTGATAAGAGGATCATACTAAGTTGGCAAACCAACCAGAATATAAGAGATGAGTTGTTACTCTACTAGAGGTTGAGCAATGGCTGAAAGGATGTCAGCAAATCCTTTGCCTTTGTGAAAATAATCCTGGACTGAAACTTGAAATGCCACCCTTTTTTAGTGTGCTCAGTTGATAGAGTGTTCAAACAGAAATTATTTTAAGGTTGTATTAATGTAATAAACGTCACATAAGGAAAGGAAGAAAGACACATGCCAAAACAGCATGTCTTACAGTGGAAATCTGGTAACAATTCCAGATACAGCAAGAGCACGAGCCCTCTCTTTTATCATTTTTCTATATAATTACGCCTTGGATCTAAATTTTGATGTTTAACAACAAGCACCCTCTGTATTAGAAATCCAAGATGACATTTGAAATGACCGGTTGGTGGCCAGTGACTCGAGATTGGTTTTGGAGTTTGCAGCAAGGAGCATGATGAGCTGCTCACGATAAGGAGTCCGAGGCTAATGACAGCAAAGGCACCCAACGGAGTTGCTGTCATTGAAACCATCAACGTAAGCATCAATGATTTACTTGGGCTATATATTCATATCTCTTGTTTAACTAACCAAGAAACAGCTAATCTAAACAAATCTTGATTGATTTTACAGAGGGAAGAAGCGGAGGAGATAGATAAAGGGGAGGAGGAAGGGAAAAGGTGGAGAAAATTGTGAACTCCCAACTCAGCCGCTCTGATAAAATTTACTCTCCTACCAACAGTCCTAAACGCTAGGCTAGCTACCTTTGTTCCCTCGCCTTCCGTCGATCTCTCCCTTAATGTCGCATGTACATCTGAAGGTAACATTGTTGGAGCTGCAAGGCATCACATTTGAAGTTCATGATACGCGTTCGTGGTTCATATTTTCAGCTTCTTTCTAACTTTATTAGCTCAGATAATTCAAGAGAAATAAACATATGGCAGGCGCATTATAGCTGAGAGGCATAAAGAACAATTGGATACAATTTGGACTGCCTCTGCATATATATTAATATTAGTACAAGATCTAACCTTGAATCTCACATGGAACAGTTACACAGAGACCAAGAATGTTTCAAGTGCGCAGTGTGAATCAAACATCGTTTGCATCTCTAAATATTACATGCTAGCTATAACAAAATATGATGGATGATAGACTCATTAACGCATGACCCTCGGTTAAACTGCGGAAGCCAATTTCTGTTGAGCAGGATTGTTGACCTCTCCCACGATTACGGAGCTGAAAAACAGGGGAAGATGAGAAGGGACATAAATGTATCATATTTTAGAAATTCTATGGACTGTCTCAACCTCCTTCCGTCCCTTCAACAAGTCTTCCATTAACCCATTTCTTAGTAGCGACTGATTTGGAAGGTGTCTCCTCTTCCATATGCTGAACTCCAGATCCATTTGGTAGATTAATCTTTTCAGACGTGAGACTCCCGTTTGGTTCCACTTGGTCAGGTTGCTTTCCTGAACTCGAATGGTCTGTGGTTGAGGAAGGCAAACTATATGCACTGGAGCTTAAAGGGAGAAGTCCCCCCTGACCATTCAGTAAATCATGAAAGGCTAAATTACTGAAATTGAGGTCTTCATCTTTACTTGTATCCATGATCATGTTCCCATTTATTTGTCTCAACTCTACTTGATCCATGCTTCCATTGCCTGCTTGATCCATGCTTCCATTGCCTGCATTTATTTCCTTCTCATCCTCACTAACCAGTTCAGTTAGTGCAAGAGATGGGTATCTGTCATTCACATTAGATATGCAATCACTGGATACACCATTCCCTCTATCCACGGATTCAATTGATTGAATTGCT